CCCAATTCAAGTTTTGTGCGAAAACGCATGATCGCACCGGCTCGCCTGGTGCGTTCCAGCCTACGTACGTGTATGCTAATTACAGTAAATGGCCAGCGCACCAACTGCCGGAGCGAAGATGCGTTTTTTGCATGGTTCCCTGCAGATTTTTGTCGCTAACACTTTCTGGCGGATGCTTCTAGCTGAAAGAATTGAGACTGGCCGCCGGAGCTACCAGGAAACGTACCTTTAAAATTCCAGCTGTCTAGCTTTCCTGGTTCCTGAGTTAGCAACTTGCAAAAAAATTCACAAGTCCGTAAATATGAACCATGCATACCCGGATGCTGGGTTTGAACTCATTGGTACCTACGTGGACGGGGGACATCCCCATAAAATTCCAGCCTTCTAGCTCCTCAGGTCCTCAAGTTAGCAAATTACCCGAAAAAAAACTTTCACGGGCCCGTACTTGAGTACCACGTACACCCGGTGTCTGGATTTGAACTAATTCATACCTACTTGGGCGATGACCATTCCCTTAAAATTCCAGCCTTCTAGCTTTTTAGGTTCCTGAGTAAGCAATTTACCTTAAAAAAGTTTTGGCAAGCCCGTACGTGGGTACCACGCGGGTAAGGAGACCCATTTTAAGGATAAGGGCCCGTGCGTGCACGCAGATTAAGTTTTTAAAGTTCCAGCCCTGTAGCTTTTGTAGGTCTCGAGATGAAAAATCTGTACAGACGAACACACACACACACAGACAGACAACCCCCTCGTCAATATGCGTTTTCTGCACTGCACGAATGCAAAAAACGCATATTGCGACGACCCTGTCTGTGTGTCCATGTGCGTGGGTGTGTGTGTGTATTCGTTTGTCCGGGTATTTCAACTCGGCAAACAAGCAAGCTCCGTCACCAAAATTTTGACAGTTGTTTCCCAGGCCAAGTACCACCCCATGACCACCGTGCCTACCCTCACGGACGTCTGTGCCCCGCGTGCGAGCGCATGGAAGTTTTGGCGGGAAAACCGCTAACTCGGGAACGAGAAAAGCGGTTATTTTCCCTGCCCACATGGAATTTTAAGATTATTTTCCCTGCCCACATGGAACTCAAAGGTTTCAGATTCAGGTCCCAGGCGTGCGTTATTCCCACGTGTGGTCCTGTAAGGGTTCCTGGCGCGAAAATCGCTAACTTGGGGAGAGGAAAGCTAGGGGGCTGAAATTTTAAGCAGATGTTCCTAGCTCATGTACAACTTAAAGTCATCAAATTCAGCGCCATATGTGGTTCTCAAGTGCGGTCCCGTGAAAGTTTTTGGCGGGAAGAATTGCTAACTCGGGATCCAGGAAAGCTGTGGTTCTTAAGTGCGGTCCCGTGAAAGTTTTTGGCGAGAAGAATTGCTAACTCAGGACCCAGGAAAGCTGGGAGGCTGAAATTTTAGGAGAATATTCCTCGTCCAAATACAACTTAAAGGTTTCAAAGTCAGCCTCCAGGTAGGCTTGGTTCTCGGGCACGGGCACTTAAATTTTTTGACGGGAAAATTGCTCGTTGAAAAGCTGGGTCATTTTAAAAAAACAACCGTTAAACGGAAATTACTATTTTCACTTATGCAAAATTTACGATGATTTACGGTATTGAGCATACAAGGTAGGTGTTAAGCAACAACTATTCGTGCAATTAACCTAATTACTTTAAGCTTGGTGCAAAAACGCATGATAGCACCGACAAGCCTGGTGCGTTCTAGCCTGGGTTTGCACGAAATTCAATCGTTTTTCTGGTGAATACTCGTTCTTTGAAAAAAACTCGTTTTTTTCAGTATATTGAAAAGTGGAAATTTTTCTAGAGAGGTCGTTCGTCAAAAAATCCAAATATGTGAATGAGTTCATTTACATAGTGAGAAAGGATGAGGGCAGTCGTTCCCTGAAACTGCACTCTTTTCTGGTTTTTCGGTAAAGTTAAGTGTTTCTCATGCCACCTGCAGGAATTTCACTTCCAAGCAGAACTAAGACCGCACTTGAAAGTAGAATATCCCAGAGAAGTGTTAGCCCCGCACCTTATTTGTTAAGCGAAACAGCCAATTCGCTACAAATATCTTTGAAGTGCTCTCAGTCGTGGCGCAAGTGCAATTTAGAACTCACATTAGGTATACGATTTTCCATATGGGCGACAAATATGCTGATAAAATTTCAGCCACTGTCATCCAGCTAATTTTCGAGTTAGCACAGCACCAAGTTGCAAATTTTGACGTGGTCGTACGTGCTGCACAAGCGTGCGCGACACTGAATTTGAAATTTTTAGCTCGCACATGCAAAGAGAATATTCCTGCAAAGTTTCAGCTTTATACCTTGTCTGGTTCGCATAATCGTTTCCCGCCAAAGAAATTTGCGTACTTTTTTGGGTGTCCGTACGTGGGGTCTAGGCGCGTGTGGGAGAAAATCTTAAAATGGGAGACTGGCACATGGAGTAGGAACACATACCCAAAATTTCAGCCTCCCGGATTTCTTGGTTGCTAGGATGAAAGTGGATGACAAATTTCACTCGCTTCTGAAAACACACACAGACAACCTCTCGACAATATGCATTTTTGCTGGCTGTAGCAGCGCTATGGCGCTAAGCAGCAAAAAAGTATAACAAGGAAAGCCGCTGTGCATATCCCATGGAAATCTAATCAGTTAAATATTTATCAACAAAGTTTCAATGGGTACCCAGGCGAAATCATTTTAAAACACATTAGTGGTGATACCAACCGTATGAAAATAAAGAAATACCAATAAAATGCTCAATCCTTCCCGCTCACTTGGTATAATAAAGTAAAAATGTTGATGTAACACTGTTTAAAAATTGCAGTGATCTGTTTACTTCTTAAGAAGTCGGAATAATCAGAATAGCCAGGCACGTTGCCTTTCTGCGATGATTTAGACTGGTTAAATCACAGCTCTTCTTGCCATTGATCGCTTTTTGCAAAAACTTTTGAAGTTTAGGATAAAATTTTAATTTCGTAAATCGATGTGAATGGAAGCAGAAAGGTGAAAACGCAGTGTCAGAAATGCGGCAATGGTAATTTGTTGGCTGCTAATCAGTGCTGCCTGTGTGTGTATTACTGCTGTTCGCTGCATAGATCTGCACATTGGTGGCGTCTTTCCGATGGAAGCTGGTTCAGGTGGCTGGGCTGGTGGTGAAGCGTGTTTACCGGCAGTACAAATCGCCCTTCAGGATGTCAATGATAATGCCAATATTCTGCCTGGTTTTACACTCAAGCTGCATTATCACAATAGTAAAGTCAGTTTTGAGGAAGCTTTTTAAACTGTTGATTAAAGTAAAATTTTTGAGTAAATGTGAGGATGTGGTGGTCTTAGTTAGTACAGAGTTTCGCTGTGATAGTCGAAACAGTTACAATTTTACACGTATGAAAACATATAAATGGAAGCGTAGAGTTCGTTCAAGGAGGAGTTTCCTTCAAGACGAAAAAAGTGGTTGACAAAATGGAGTCCATCTAAGACCCTTGACATGACACCAGAGCGATCTGAGACGGACTCAGAACTGAACCAAGTAAGCAGGATGCCCCTTGCTTATTCATCCATTATTTCTATGAGCTCCAGAAGGAGCCTCCACTTGTTGTTGGTTGGTAACAGGCTAAACGGCTCTTCCTGCGTGTCGAAAATTGCAAAAGCAGCGATATAAATTATGGTCCAGGAGCTCAGAACCGGAAGGGAGTGCTGCGCTTACTCTCATCTACGCTCCCATGCATGAAATTAGGCGCTCGTGAGAGCTACATTTGAATTGGCACGCTCGCACATGAACAGAAAAAAATCCTCCAACAGCCTTCCGTTTCGAATAGTTCCCGAACTAAAAATTCCGCTGGTAAAGTTTCACGTCTCTGTGCCTGAGATATAAGCGCACATGAAAGCCGAATTTGAAGCTCCAGGATTGTGCACTTAGAAGAAGCACCGTACTAAATTTCCATCTTCCCACCTTGCGGTTGCTGAGTCAGAAAATTTCGTATCAAAACTCTTGTGCGTCCATACATGAGAATTAGCAAAAATGGAGGCTGGACTTAAATTTTTTGAGATTACACATGGGCTTGGAACATTGCCTTAAAATTTTAACTTCCTAGTTTTTGAGGTTTTCGATATTAATTTTGGCACCGAAAACTTCAAGTAACCGTATGTGAGACTTAGGCACACATGAAGGATGAGTTTAAATTCACAAGGCTGCACGTGAGCGAAGAAACACTGCCCTAAAATTTCAATTTTCGAATTTTTGTGGTTCCCGAGTTGAAAACCGGAGAAGAAATGCATGTTGGCAGATACACACACATACAAATATATACAGACAGGGTTATGGCTGTATGCGTTCTGTGCAACTGTTACGCAGCGCAAAGCGCAGAAAAGCTAGCACGAAAGAACAACAGGGGGCTCGTTCGATATATTTACAAGAAATATGTGGCTATGATTTATTTGCATAGCTTCATAAACTGTAAATATTGAATATATTTGTAGGAATGAGAAAACTGGTCACGCAGAAACACGTCACCTACAAAAATTTTTGATGTGAAGTTGAAACTCTCTCGCATCCATTTTCTGTGAAATGCTAAGGCATTTCTTAGTAGTCGAAAGGGCAACATTTGCTAACAGCAACCGCTCACTGGCAAAGGTGTTAGGAGTGCCTCTTTCGAGAGCTGTTTAGAAGGAGGCTCACGACAGTGTTGACACTGGCATGCGATAGTGTTAAATTTGCTATCCAGAAAAATGTACGAATCGTAGAAAAACTGACTGTTCCATTGACAAAGTCCAGTTTTTGATTTTTAACATAAGAACAATGCTGCTTGCCATTGGCGCCATGATCGCCAAGGAAAACGATAGATGTCAAGTTTAATAAAGAAACGAATCTTGGAAAAAGAAAAGCCGAACATCCTTGTAATAATTTCTCTGCAAAGTCCTCCTTGTTGCAGATGTTAGCGGACGGAGTTAACAGGCGAGGGTTTCGCCTTTTTTTATCACTACCAATATTTTAGCTCGCACTTAAAGTCATTTCAAACAAATATTTGGCAACATTTACAGAGAAATTCTTTTCTTCTGTAGGTATATTTTTCAAAAGTTTGTAAATCATCCTTTGTGCGGGCTAAAGTATTTGACAAAAAACGGTTCTGTTTGCTACAGCTGTCTAGACCTTGGAAGGTCGTGAAAATTCTTGTCATCATTTCTTTCCTCACCAAGTCTAATAGCACTGCAGCCAAAAAGCCCTTCCGCAGCGAAATAGCAGTGAGGGACATGAAAGAATATGCTTCCGGAGCAGTGCTATAATTCAGACAACACAGTTTTCGTTCACAGCATTTCTTCTGAAATCAGCCTTCCTCGCTTACAGTGTCAGCCGGGATTAGCAGCGAAACAGCTGTACGAATTGCTTTACAAAGCCCCAACAAAGCTGATGCTGTTGGCTGGATGTAGTCCTGTAACAACTGTTTTTGCCGAAGCCGCTCCAGTTTGGAATCTTGTCGTGGTAAATTTTTTAATCTGCAGATTTTCTTGTCTTTTTTTGAATCTTTAACAGCCCGAAAATATTCATTAAATTCGCAAGATGATGATTTTTAAAACTCTAAAATCTGATTACGTTTATATATTTTTAAGCTTTTTTATGCTTGCACTGCTCAGTCGCACCAAGCGCATACACTGGGCCTTTGTCTATGTCTGCGTATTTGTGTGTATGGGTATGCGCTCAATGTGTGTTTGTGCGCGTGTGGGTGCGTATGTGTTTGCATGCTCCGAATCCGTTTTATCTTGGGTTTTCAGCTCGGAAACCAGTAAAACTAGAGAGCTGAAATGTTAGGTGTATGTTTCCTATCTGTATGTGATCCTGTAGACATAAACCCAGCCTCCACGCACGCTTAGGTTCCACGAGTGGGCACGTGAAGGATTTGGCAGAAAAATTTTCAAATTGGGAACCAAAGAAGCTAAGAGGCTGATTGGGATGACACTCCAAGCTCATGTGTGATCTTAAAAATTTAAATTCAATTTCCATGTGCGCTTAGGTTTTTTTATATGTTTAACAGTTTTGGCGAGAAAATTGCTCACTGAATAGCTGGTTCATTTTCAAAACGTAGGCTGGAACGCACCAGGCGAGCCGGAGCGATCATGCGTTTTTGCACAAAACTT